ACGTTTAAGATTTTAACTCCTATCAAGTTTTTAGAATTAACCGCTTAGATATATATGTTGTATTTGAAAGCCACACAGATGTAAAGTCTTATTATTAGGCATTACTATATAGTACCTAAAAATTTTTTTAGTTTTTAAATGTAGCCGCTTAAATATATGTATATATTGTATTTGAAAGTCACACAGATCTAAAGTCTACTAAGAATTTTTAGGTACTCCAAGTAAAATAATTTAGGCAGTAATGCTTATCGTACCTATAAGACAATACTCAGAACATTTTAAAGAAATTCCTTAAAGTTTGCTCGACAAGTTCCACATTGCAGTAAATAATATGTAATGAAATGAATCTATAGTCTCTGTAAGTCTGACTAAGATGTCAGACACTAAGCCACGTATAGACCTGTTGCTCTCTAATGACAACAGATAAAGTAAAGTGCATATGATAATTCTCAAGACATCTTGAAAGAAATTCGAAAAAGCAAATACGCTAAGTTTTGTGTTGCAGTAAATAATATGCAATAAAAGAGATCTACATAGGCTTAGTAAGTAATAGTATGATTTAAGCTGTATAACTCAGACAGAACCATCAAGCACTTTTCACAAATTTTTCTATGCAGACCTTTCCTTTTTTTCATAAAAATAAAGGAGAACCAAAATGTATATTCTTACGGAAGAGACAATAAAACTCTATAAAGTAGATTCTATACTACTTTTTATTGACGCAAAAGGGTTTAGAGACCTACTTTAAAACCAGAAGGGAAAAAAAAGACCCGACGGTCGTAGTGTCACATCCCTTAACAATAATAACAATAATAATAATAGAATAGACCTTAAAGGTATGTAAGAACCCAACCTTAATATCGCGTAGTTCTAGTACACAGGCATGATGCTATCAGAATGATCAAACAGACGACGAAATACGCTGTCAAACTAAGATGACTGATATTGATTGGTTTGTGTTGAATATGAAAATGTGTGTTTTTTTTAAGGAATATGAATATCTCAGCAATATGACGCTTCAGTTAAATCGTTCATTTAAACAATATAGTAAAAGCATATAAATGAAACTGATAGATATAAATGAAATATGTGAAAAAATTGTATATTAAATCCAAACAATCTAAATAATTCATTTAATAACAACAACAACACATATGTTAACAAGTTTCTCGGACTAAACAGATTTAAAATCAGATTAAGCATTAGCTTATATATGTATATTTTTTATAACTACCATCTTTCCTATCTAAAAATTATATACATTTTAAATAGTTACTTTTTCGAAAATCTGAAGACGAAGGTACTAAGATCTAAAAGAAAGGTCTAACTAACAAATTTGGATTTAATACAATGTGATAATACACATAACTCAATAGAATAACAAAATTGAGAAACATTCATTCAGACTTTCAGTAAAAAAGGTGTTTGTTTGTTAAATCACAAAGATTGGACTACATTGGTGATTTAACAGAATGAATACCTGAGAAACTTCATCGAAAATTGTGAAACCATCTTTACATAGTCATATACTCCGCTTTTGTAACATCAGATGCATGGTACAATAGCGGAACTCGCGAACAATTTATTTTCATGGTATAAACTAAAGATTGATGGTTTTGAGAATGCTTTGTCTACTGAGGTCTGCCTAATTATTATCATCGTTATAATTACTATCAGTATTGTTTTTGATTTAAAAGTGTGTAAAGTTTTTTAATATTAATATTAAATATTATTAAAAACACAAATTCAAATTTTATGTCCAATTAAAACTGAACAGTATCTAAAAGTTAAAGACCTAAAGCTCACTGTGATCTATTATAGCTCTGATAACAATGATGATTCGGCGCATTTAAGAACCTTGCGAACCTTTGTCTATATAACTTTTTTTTTTTTTTCTAAAACTTCATTTTATTATATACAATCTATTCTATGTATGAATAATAAGTACTACTTATGGCAGTCTATATAACTTTAAATTATAAATAGTATTGGATAAATTGATTTCAATATATTGAAAGAGATTCGAAGTAGATGTCTAATTAAAACTGAACAGTATTCAAAAGTGAAAGACCCATATGGCAACGAAACATTAGGCATCCTAGAGCCCGTCAGAGCTATTGTAGCTCTGATAATAATGATGATTCGGCACATTTAAGAACCTTTTCGATTTTTTCAAAAAATTTAAATTAAATACCATATTTTATATGCAATTATTTAATATTTTTGAAGGTAGTCAATCATCTTTTTACTGTTACCTTTGGAAGTCCTCGTAAATTTATGCAATTAAGTATAATTTTAGAGCCCATTTTTTTAAATAACAAAAATTAAAAAAATAGGAATCAATATTACAAAAACTTTTTAATCTGCATTTTGGTGTAAAACTTTTTGTATATCTAGATATACATATATCTAGTATAAGTATATATTTGATATTCCTTATAAATATATATTTTATATCCATTAAAGGTTAATTATATAAAATTAATTTTGTCCATTAACACAATTTGTTAATCTATGACAGCACTTTACTTTGGACAAAGTAAAGTAATTTCTCTTTTAATATGACATATAAATGATAAGATAGGTTAGATTGATAAGATCAGTATTATGTTAAATTTATTATGAAATTAAATTTTCTTTTTCTACTAATGTGTAATGAAATTATTTTATTAAACATTTATTAAACATATGCAGTATTTATTCAATTTAAATATCATCTATAGAAAAAAAAAATAAAAAAAAAATTAATTATACATAATTTACTGACATGAAACTTTACAATTTTAAAATGAATTTTATATATTAATTTTTCAAAATTAATTAAATATTTTTTTAAAATATAATGTTCTTATATTTTGTTTTTAAACTTATTCTTACATTTAAAATTTATTATTAAATTGTTAAATTTATTATTAAATCGTTAAATTTATTATTAAATCGTTAAATTGTTATAAAACTTAACAGTAAATAGTTATAGTAAATTTTTTTATTAAAAGTTCTTATGCAGCTTTAACAGTCTTCAATCTACACCCTTCTCACCCATTTAATTTACTCACTAATTAAACGCAGGCAGTAATTTCAAATTCTTGAAACAATACTGGCTACTGACTAGTGATTTTAATAAAAAATAATTGTATTTGTATGGTTTTTATAAAAGGAGCTTTTACCATTTCGAAGAAATAAGAAAATTAACCTTTTCCTTACTGCATAAATTTACATGAAATATGATAGACCTGAACATATGCGGGTCAGCGTAATCTCACCCATCAACTAACCAGCTCAGGAATAAGGTCATAATTATATATCCGCACATAAATTGAGTTTGCATGTTCAGCGGATACGAAAGGACATTTGCACGCTAGCCTAAGTCCTTAAGAAACGAATGGAAAACTGTACTTTAAATTTTATGTGCGCACATTTTCATAAAACGGTAGTTTTATATTCTATAGATAAAAGTAAATGAAATTGCTTTCAACATTAAAAGTAAATAAACATAAATGATTTTATAAGGAAAATAAACTTAACTTTTTATTTAAATGTTTAATAATAATTAATGGTACTTTCTATTTTCAGAATGCTTTTAGGTGCTTTTCCGATGGGTAACAAAACTGGTGCTGCTCCAACAAATAAAAATGGAAAATGTCGATTTCTTATACTTTGTGGCGGATATATTTTATTTCTGATACTTGGTGCAGCAATGTTCTCTGCGATAGAGGCACCAAAGATTGATGACATTTCCAAGCGGGTGGAAACTTTTCGAAATCAATTTCTACAAAATCACGCATGTCTTAAAGGTAACTATACATTAATAATACATTAATTATGAAAATACTATAAAATGAGTCCTATGAATATGCCCAGGTCTAGTCAGATTCGAGCACTTCACTACGAAAGCCTAGGCGCAAATAAATCTAGTGAACATATCTAATATAGATTTTAAAAAGTATTGTTAAGTTAGTTTTGGTTGGAGTGGCGGCCTTGTATGGAATGGCCCATTGTGGTACCACAGGAATAGTGTTGGTTCGTACATAGACTAGAAGGTCAGTATACGACCAACGCCGAAAAAGCAACGACTCCCCATTAGATAAAGTTAAACCAACCTAACAATTCTATGAATCTGGGTAAGCCCCTATTATTGCAGAAAAACAGCTCAGTCATATCGATAAAAAAAGAGGCCCCTGAAATTTTTGATCTTCTCCTAGCTAAATATGGACACTAGCACGTGAGATGAAGCACAGTTTCCTCTTCATACTCAAAGCCACAGCCGTGACAAAGATCATTATAGGGAATATCTACTCTCATAGCATGCGTTACTAATATGCACAAGGTTTTGAAATAGCTTACTGGTACATGCAAATCAACCTAGATATCTGACAGCAGGATTCGTTAGCCTAGTGTTGATTGACTGTGCTTAAATATTTTTGTTTGATTGTTAGTTTTTTAATTGGCGTTCCACTGCCAATATCTGAGAAATATCAGAGAGAAGAGCGCCTGCTTTTGCAAGCTCATCCATTCTACAATTGCCCGAGATATCCCTATGACGAGGACCCAAATAAATTAAACCTTCACCCTCCTAGCTAGGTCATTAAGGTAAGCACTGCAGTTTTAGGAAAATAAATTATGATTGAATATGTGAGATGTTTCGAATATATAAAACAGTTGTAAAATATTGTAGCTCTAGGATTAAATTTTTATTAATAAAAAATAGGAATATTTCTGTTAAGACCAACTGACCAAAACTATTTATAACTATTAATATAATAAAATTATCTATAAATTAGAAAATATTTTACTCATTTGCTGAAACTAAGATTAATGTTCTTTCATTCTGAAACACCATATCTCTTAAAAACAAACTATGTATATATAGAAAAAAATATATATATATTTACTTAAGATACTATTGACACCTTTATTTTCTTAATTCCAAACAGACATTTACGTGACATTATATAGCAATGGTGTTGCTTTAGTTAAATAGCTACTATATGCATATAATAGCTTTTGCGCAGAGGCGATATCGTCACCGATTAAGTTCTATGTTGCTGAGGTGCGATTATTGCTAGTTCAAAACTTTAAACTTTTTATAGAGTAAATTTGTTATTTTAAATATATTTAAAAGACTGTTACTGACTGTTACTCTACTCGATATTTTGTAGTTTCCATATTTTCCAGCGAAAACATTAACTTCATTGTTTGAAAGTTTTTTTTTTTGCATATCACTATGCAAATCCCTTATATACAATTGAATTATTTAAGTTATTTTTTTTTTGTATAAACTGCATCTATTAAACTTTTATTTTCTTTACCTATAAAATTATTATAAAATATTATATCGTGTTTAATTTCACAGTTCTAATGAAGACTTGTTATGTGTTGTCACATAGAAATGCATGCGATATGAAAGAAATTTTTATTAGCTCTGGAATCGTTTTGTGTATTTGCGGCTTTTATATTTGTATATGTCTCAAGTTCTTGGTAAAACAGACACAGCTCTTTTTATTCTGAATATAGAAAGAAATGCAACGATCAGCAATTTTTTCTATATTTTTCATAACAGACACGAAAAGCACAAAAATATTATTCAGTTTGATTTTGAAGAGTGCACAGTAAAGATTAATTTTAATTAAGACTTAAGATAGATAACAACAATAAGACTTATTAATGTAAAAAATAGAAAAAAAAAAAAACAAAATAAAATTAACGTAAATTAATAAACAATAATTTAAATGAAAATAAAATAAATGACCACAAATGATAAAGTGAGAAAAATCGTAATAAATAAAATTAATCTAAGTGGCCGAAATCTGAAATCTGTGAGCCAGCAAACATATTATTTGTAATAAATAACCATTAACATGACTTCCGAAAGGCATTGCAAACATAGCGGATATGAGAGTCTCGATGGTATTAGCAATCAATCACCATCAACCTCTTCGCACGTGCACAATTCAAATGACTGCTTAACACAGAATAATAAAATGATGGCAAAAGACCTATCCAGATCCGACACCGCCATACACTTGCAACCGCAAATGGACAATATTTGCGCGCGTAGAATATCATCAGTAATTTCCTCCATTAATATATCTTCCTTTAGCCTCAATAGCGCCTTCCAAAACTCACGTCGTATTTTGCTTAATAATCGCGGCTGTGATTTTGAATCAAATAACGGAGCGAAATGCCAAAATGAAACCAAATGTACAAATCCGTTCCTGAAACTGAAACGGAAAATAAATCGTCATCATTTTCTGATTTTATTTGTTTTGTTCTACGTCGCTTATTTGACATTCGGGGGTTTCTGCTTTCAAATGTTCGAAACGCCAATTGAAAATAATTATCGTGCCGGGCTTAATAGTCTACGTAATGATTTTTTAAAAAAATATCCACAGATTTTGGGTAAATATTTTTCTAAGTAATATATATAATAGCCTATAAATTAATACAAACTTAATTATATGATTATGTACTTTACAAGATAATTTATCTCAATTATGAATACTTTCTCAAACAAGTTCTATATCCTAAAAGTACTTGTACATTAAACATATCATTTTAGGATTAAGAGGTCAGTAGAATGGAGCACAACCACCATAGTAGATCATTTGTGATACAACTAACCATAATTGAATAGAAGAATGTTTCTAGTTGAAAAGTTCATTAATCACGATTATTTCATTGTCGGACTCTCTCTCTGGATGGAAGAATATGGGTATAACTTTATAGACTACATAAATGAACTGGCAATATTAATAAGTAGTGAATAAAGTGGCACTATACTTAAGTAATGCTTACACGAAGTTTAAAACGATATAGGAATGAAATACCAATAATAATTGAAAAAAGACTAAAATAAATCTAATAATGTTTAAAGTTAATCTAAATATAATGTGCTTATAATATTAGGTTGCTTTAAAAAAGATTTGACTAAGCCGAATTTATCTACAAGCAGATGAAAATTTGATTAAGATTTTTTACGATTGTTCGCTTTTACTAAGGTCTGGGCGGAGAATGTATCCTCATCTCGGTCGATATTGTAAACTTCTCAACTAAGGACATTCTTCTATACAATTAACGTTAGTTGTAACACAACTAAGGACATTCTAAGTTGTAACACAAAAGAATTACTATGGTGGTTGCGTTCCTTTATACTGACATCTCTTAAATATCTATCTATCTCATCAATAAAAGATTTAAGATATTAGAACGACAAGATTTCTCGTAACAATGTTTTGTACAAGTTACAGAACTTAAAAGTTACATTTGTTAAATTTATATATAAGCAAAACAAAATGAAAAATTATTCCATAGGAACTTATATTTGAATTATCATTATACATGACAAATACTATATATATAAAATAGCATGAATAAATTAATCAAATGTCACAAAAATATTAGGCAAGTTACCGATTTTTATATCGGTTGGTAACATAGTGAAAACATTTGATCAGAATAGGTGACTTTATTTAAATCTGCTGTCAAATCGGAGTGTCCAGTGTACATAAAGAGTTTTTGACTTTCTTAACAATGACGCTTATTTTATTTGTGGGTATCGTATTTCTATTAGGTTATTTGCTCTACTATATCGGTTTTACTACATCTGTAGACAAAATGTGTAAAAAGATTGGACCGTAAGATCCAGAAGAAGTATTACTATTATTTAAAATAAATTAAGTATTAATATTATTAATCTGTTTTGTCCAAAAACATTTGAAATTCTTCCCGCGGTATTATTTTGGTAATGTTTTTATGTCATCGATATTATAATTAAATAAAAAAAACATTGTCTCTGTTATCTTTTTTGAAGATCTTCGAAGTTTGGTATCAGTTATCATTCAATAGAGTTATAAGAACCATCAAATTGCTTATAGTTCTCATTAATATGTGCAGCAGTATTATATTTTGGTACCACATACATTACAATATGTTTTGGTCAATCAACCATTTGATAAGATTAACATGCTTATTTGGCAATCATTTTTTATAGATATACATTTTGTAATACAGAAAGTATATATATTACTCATCTTGGCGTAAATAGATGTGTAAAGCTAAGCTGCTCTACTTTCAATATTTTCAATATTCATCTTTCAATATTTATAGAAAGAAGATCTACAGTAAAGACGACAAGCTAATTTGTCATTAATTTTTTTATATATACGCATCTTGTAAAACACTGGGTATATGCCTGACCACAAGGCATATATAACTGTAACTCTTAATGTAATTCAAAAATATCAAGTTGTGAAAGTGTGAAGATAAACTCTTCTACAGTTTATAATCGCATAAACCACACTTATATACTTTTATCACTCGTATACTCTAGCAAAACTTTAAAAAACTTACTTTCTATTTAATTTCAGATGAGGACCTAGAAGATTTTTTACATGCTATTATTACGGCCAACGATCGCGGCATATCACCCTTGCGCAACGCCTCCAACGAAATGAATTGGAGCTTTGGTCAAGCACTTTTCTTTTCAAGCACTGTCGTTACCACAATAGGTAGTGAAATTTTTTTCTTAATATATATATGTAATATATAAATATATATTGTATTTATAACAAATTTTATTTACTTAGGTTATGGACGTGTTACGCCACTCAGTCAAACTGGCAAAATATTTTGCATTATTTATGCTACCATTGGTATACCACTTACCCTACTACTACTAAGCGCAATGGTTGAACGGTTACTTATGCCCGCCAATTGGCTATTGGGTACACTTAATTCAAAGCTTGGACATTTATATCAACCTTTCAATATACGTTTACTACATCTAAGCATTGTTGTTGCAATAGTGGCTGCAATATTCTTTGCTATACCAACAGCAATATTCGCTTACCTGGAACCAGCTTGGGGTACATTAGACGCTTTCTACTATTGTTTCATATCCCTAACTACAATTGGCTTAGGCGATTATATACCCGGTGAAGGTGTTTCCATTGAACACCGTTCCATATATAAAATGTTTATTACGGGCTATTTAATTTGCGGTAATTATTTGTTACTTATTATTGTTATTGTTATCGTACATATGTTTATGCAGAAGTCATATGTTATATATATAAAATTAATAATTTAATTGTTATTTTTAGGATTAATTGCAATGATGTTCGTGCTGACAATATTCTATGATATACCACAATTAAACTTAGGCCAATTGTTTACGGAAAGTGTTAATGGAGAAACTGAAAAACTACGCTTATCTAGTAATAATACTACTTGTTATTCTGGTCCATCTGGATTATATATGCCGCAACGTGATGAGGATACACGACGTGCAGTTGTACGTATACGACCGCATGGCGATGACTCACCTAGCCCCGATGAAGCGCCCTCATCACTTAATAGTGATATGAGAATACCATAGAAGGCAGAAATTTATCAATAATTTAAAAAAAAACATTAACATTCTATGCAATCATTAACTACTATAAAGTTACGTACAATTTAACGAATATATCAAGTAACAAATCGACAGTTTACAAAATTCTAATCATATCCTATATGAAAACATATTCCATATAGCATAAAATTGTAGATACAATATGCTATATACGATATTATACAAATAGAATTTACACAATTGTTTCAAGTAGTAAAATAAATGTTACAATCGTAAAATCTAAAGATATTCTAATAATAAAAATAATATATTATGCAATGTCATTATATGTAGCGAATTCTAAGTCCTTACAATCTGATATATCTAGCATGATATGACTATGAAGTCATATTGAAAAAAACAAGCTTTGAGAATGTTTCCTTTGTTATTATTAAAATTGTATTTCTTAAATAAGTTTAAAATTCAGAAAGTAAAAATCGGTATTATCTTAAAAAACAAAAAAATTTCAATTATAACAATAATTATAAAAATATGTTGTCTAAATCCCTGGTCTAAATTATAACTTAAATTTCTTCATAGTGACTCCATAGTTTCGTGATGGGAGCACAGGAGTCGCCTCCAGGAGCCAAAAGTTTCAAACAAAATATAATTTATTTTGTTTATCTTTGAGCTCCAAGCACAATAAAAGTTACAATTCATTGTTTATTTCAATATACTATGTTGTTGTAATTTTTATTTTTTTAACAACAAATATTAGCAATAAGAAGGCTATATACATTTTATAC